ATACCACATAAAGTTGCTAATTTTACGCTCATGCATGGCATCAAAGGGACTAAAACAATCAAATAAAGCTTATCAATGGATTTAGAGCATGAAGGAGGGTCAATACTTGATAAATCTAGGAACTTTAGGCTCAAAGATCCACAACACATTCAGATCTGAAGTGGAAACTTCAAACAATGCATCATTCCAAGAATAACTTCAATATGGACCAAGAATAACAATATCTATTCATAGAAGTAGATCTAAGCAATAAGAGGCCAAGGTTTTGACTTTATACCTCAAAACAGTTGCCACAACAGAGTAAACACCAGATCTACAGCCTCTCTCTTCAGCCAACTTCTTCAAGCTTCTTGTTCCTTCCAAAAGAGCACTAAAACTCACTATTTAAGCTCACACACACACAAAATAAGAGCAAAAGCACGAATAGGGTTTTTCTCTGGACACGGAGGCGATGAAGGAGGCCAACAAGGAGAGTTAAGGCCTTTAAATAGGGTGCAAACCCTAAAAATTAGGGTTTTCATGTCCAGCCTTCAACTCTTCGAGTTGGGGCCTTCCAACTCGTCAAGTAGACATTGAAATATACGCGGGCATTAAACATTCTACACGACGAGTTGGAGCCTTCCAACTCGTCGAGTTGCCCTGAAAATACATATATAAGCTTTTAAATCCATACCTGAAAATTGGGATGTTACAGATCTCCTTTGGTTTTTTGTCACTTTTGGTCATTTTAACCTTATGTTCTTGGAGTTTGGGCAACTCAATAACTTTAGATTGCAAATGGACTTGTTTCTGGTATTTAGGTTGAAGAAAAATGAGTATGCATGGGTTCCTTTTCAACCGTTCACAAGATTATGATATCAAATGGACTTAATCAAGTTAGGGTTGTAGATTAGGTGAGATCTAGCCCTTAGAATGGATAAAGTTGGAACTTTTATCCTATAAGTCACTGGAAATATTCAAATCTAAAGATCTAAGCCTTGATCTGACGAGTGTTTAATGAGTAAAGAAGATTCTGCCAGAGAAGTCGCGGCATGGCCAAGGATAGGTCGCGACGTGGGATTCGAATGGGATTTCCGACTATTTTGTCGTGGCATGACAACGATGCGACCAACAGCTGGGTCGCAACCTCGTTGACGGTTGACTTTTTAATCAGTTTGACTTTTGGTCAACTATGATGGATTTAGGTCTTAGACTATGTTTTGAAGGAAAAAATGGTCTTCTTCCTAAAAGTGTTAGGGTAATTAAGCTAAGACTCTAATAGGAAGGAAAGTTAAGTGTTGTGCCTTAAATGCTAAATTAGGGTTATATAATTTTGTAATGGTTCAAGGAAGTCTTGGTGTCACCTAACTCGTTGTGTGGTTATACTTTATCATCTATTCAAGCGAGTTTTTACGAACTCTTTTATTATGTGGACGATGTGATATTAGGATGTTAGACCATGAAAAGCTTCATGGAAAGAAGTGGTCGTCGACTAGTCAACCAGAGAAAAGTCTCTTGGAGAAAATCTAATTGAACTGATAAATAGAATGATATGATGAGATGTTAGGCCACGAAAAGCATCACAAAAGGAAGTGGTCGTAGGTTGGATAACTAGAGAAAAGCCTCTCGGGGGGAATCTAGTTGTTCCCGTAAGTAGATATGTTTATGTTAGCATATGTTATATGATACGATGATATGTAATATGTGATTTATTACATTATGTGTTTGTATGCTTTTACGAGTATTGCATATGATATGTATAATGGGTGGGTGTTGTGATTACTCACTGAGCCTTAGGCTTACAATTGCTACTTAATGTTTTTATAGAAGGACGTTCAAGTGTGTCAAAAGGGAAGGAGTCTGCATGATTGCAATGTGTTATCTGGACATTCTCTTGGGCATGACATTTATCCAGTACTGTATTTTATCATATGTTGATTTTCAAAACAATGCTATGCTTCCGCAATTAACAAGTACAATGGTTTAGTATGATGATTTTATGATGAAACTTGTTGATTTTGAAATAATTTAGTATTACAAATGAAGGTTCATGTTAATGAATTATTGAGATTCAATACTCTGATTTTTTTTTTAAAAAAATGGGTTGGATTTTGAGGGCGTTACAAGTTTATTGATTAATATATATTAAAATCTATATAATGAGATATACTTTTTTATATAAGAGAAGGAAATAAAGAAAATGAAACAAAATCCCGTGAAAAAAAAAAATAATCCTATGAAAAAGAAAATAAAATAAAATATTAGCATATGTTTTAGTAATTTGACTCAGCTTGAGTTCAAAGCTTATAAAACCTATTCATTATTCAGGAGACGAGTCATTGTAAAGATGTCAACAATTTGCTTTAGGGAAATTGACTTATTAACGAAATTAACTTTTCAGTTTGTTTATATCCGGGTAACGAATTTTTCGGAAGTGTTCACATATGACCATTATGATCGGCTGTAGCAGGTTACATCCGGTCACAATGGTCATATGTAAACTTTTCAAAAAGTTTGTTACCTACATGTGTAAAAAAAATAGTTACCCAGATGTGAACAAAACCAAAAGTTAATTATTTTGATAAGTCAATTTCTTTTCTTTTTTATTTTACTTTCTAGTTTTGATTTGGTATAAAATTTAACCTAAAATGGTAAATATTTTTTAAACCACACCATTTTGGTAAATATCTTTTTAAAATACACTACTTTGTAAAAAATAATAATAATAATAATAAATAAAATAAAATAAAAAAAACATTTCTAGATTTGACATGGAAAAAAACACATCGTCGTTTTATAGAATTTTATTGTTTAAGATATTAAATATAAAAATTTAAATTTACTAAAGACTAAAAGTATCAGAAATAGTGACCAATAATACAAAAAAAAAAACACACCGTTTGATGAGTTAAAGCTTAGAATGTTGTTAATAGAGTTTCAGGTTTTGATTTGCATTTCAAGTTATGGTTTTCAATTGATCAGGTTCTCCACTTTTTCTTTCTGCTATCAATTAATTTTCTTTTCCTACAAGGATTGTGATGCATTGGGTTGTGGTGGTGGAAAATTCGATTAAGAGACAGTAGGTTGTGGTGTTGGTTCGTTGAAGTTGAAGCACCTAAAAAAGAAGGGACGGTGAAGACGTTGATGTCACTAAAGATGGAAAAGAAATAGACGTTTTATATAAGAGATATTGACAAATCGTAGCCTATTACCTGTAACATGATAAGTGTTACAATAAATGACATAATGATATTGTATTTATGCCCACAACGTATAAGAATCTAAATGAAACTGTTGACATCAGAAGAATTCTTGATTATAACAACATGACTGCCAAGGTTTTATATAACGTAAGGCGTGACTTGACGGCAACGTCAAGCTTCAAGCTTTTTCAAGCCGTGGCGAGCGACGTCGTTTTTAAGGCGTGACTTAAGGCGGCAGTTTTGTATATAATTCATAATATATATATATATATATATATATATATATATATATATATATATATATATATATATATTATATATATATAATACTATTATTCATTTTTATATACATATATGACTTAAGGCGGCATATTGTTAAAGTTTGACGGCAAGTACAAGTCTTGAAGCTATGACGAGCTTTTTTGGACCTTGATGACTGCTGACAAAGGTTTGACAAAACCATGTAATACGACAAGTATCACGTGTAACATGATACTCAGTGGTGGACATTAGTGGAGCTCCGGGGGTCCAGGGCCACTGCTCTGATTCTAGCAGGTAGTGTAAATTTTATTTCTATTAGGTGCACCGGCTTAAAATATGAGTGTCACTGCTAATTTAGATTTTTTCGGAATTTTTTTTAGGTGTCACCCCTACTAAAACATTTTGTGTCCGGCACTGATGATACTTAAACATAATGTTATTGTTTTGTAGCCATGATATATAAGGATCCAACTGAAATTGAATGTGCTTGAAATTTAACTACTGACGTCAATTTCGGTTATGACAATTGGCTGCCGACAAAACCATGTGATATGACAAACAAATTAAAAGAATTAGGAGAAACATCTATGGATCATTATAAAGATCAAGTTGTTATTTGTGATAGTATTGATGATAAAGGGAGAGGAATATGACATGCATATACGTTATAGAATGTAAGGTCGTGTCTAATAGCCTCTTAATGGTTCCATTTAGAGATAACATGTAAATGGTTCAACTCAAACCCTCTATACAACCCTCCCTTAACCTCTCTTTACAAACCTTAACCACCACCATACTCAATCTCCACCCTCACCGCCACCATACTGGGTCGCGACCCTCATCATCATCGTCTCCCTCATTACCACCTTCCCTGTTGTTTTCGACCACCACAATAATCGTCGCCGCCTTCAGATCTGTCGGTGCTAGAGTTTTCAGATTTATCAATGTCTTCTAGGGTTTTTAGATCAATTGCCCCCGTCTTCTGTGTGTGAGATGTAGTTGTTAGCCGTCACCTCCACCATCGTCGCAGTTTGTATGTGGGTGTGAGAGGGATATATATATATATATATATATATATATATATATATATATATATATATATATATATATATATATATATATATATATATATATAGGAGTAGGATCAAATTAGAACACCTAAAAGGTTGAGAACGCGAGAACAGATCTGGACCATTTAAATATCTAAATCTAAGGCTAATTTCAAATGGGTCGTTTATGTAAAAATCTTAAACTACTTGCATTAAAGTGTAACTTCAAAATTGTCATAAGGATATAACAGTAATTTCTACTTTGGCTGATTCCTAAAAAATTTCTCTCTCATCTATTTCCTTTCATTTTGCCATCTCTTTCTTCCTTTCGTGTATACACCTAGGGTTTCATCAACAAAAACATATCCATCAACCACACATAACCAGGATCGGTTCATCATCATCATCTCACGTTGCAGCCAAAGCTAGCAAGTCTTTTGCATTTACGGTCGTATAAACTCACAGTGGAGACGCAAATCGTGCGTGTGTTTGTGTTAGAAAAGCAGTGATGAGCGGAGCAGCGTCGTATCTGGCGAGGAGGGCAGCTCAGAGGGAGAAAGTTAGAATCCTCTACAGACGTGCCCTCAAAGACACTCTCAATTGGGCCGTTCACTGCCATCTCTTTTACCCCGATGTATTTTCCCTCAATCTGTTAGGGTTTTTCAACTTTTAGATTCGTTTCGATTTTCATCATGTACGTCTTTGATTTGGTTTAATCATACTGATTATGAATTTTTTCAGGCCGATGCACTTCGTGAGAGATTCGATGCGAACAAGAATGTGGTTCGTTTCTTCCGCCTCTTGTTATACTTTACATTTCCACTTTTTTGTTTGAATTTGAGTTATCGAATTAGCCAACGATGTTTCTTTGCTCTCGTTCTCATGAAACCCTAACATGCCAAAAAAAGAGCAAAAATGTTTGCCAGAGCTTGCAAGTCTTTTGCATTTACATCCAAGATGTTTACAAAATCGCTCGTTCTCATGAAACAATTTTTGGTTGTGTTCGTTATAATCATTTACAATTATAAATATTGTTGTCCACATGATTAGAAGACACCAATAATAATAATTTATGATTATAACTATTGGCAGCATAAACGATGAGAGGAATACTTATAATCATTTATGATTATAACAACATATGATTTGCTATTAATCATTCATTTTAATACTTTTTTGATCATTTTGTTGTATTTTCATGGTATTGCCATTTTGTAGATATTAATCAACGAAAAATGAATGTTGAAATTATTTTAGGTATCACTACTACTCGTTACACAAGCTCGCGGGCCATTTGATTCAAAATAGAAGAATGAGGTTGCGACCGATTCAAGAAAATGGTTGACACAGTGATGAATTTTGTAATTTTTTCCATTGAAGTAGTTTAATCAGTATTGAATATAATCATGTATAAATGTAAGAAATTAGTCTTGACATATTCATTTATGAATATAAATATAAATATGTATAAACTCAATCTTTGGAAAATTTATTTATCAATATAATAGTGTTTGATAATGAATTATTAATGTATTGGTTTTTTTATTTGTTAGTATATTCATGTACGACTATTAGTTTTTTATTCATTTATAAATGAAATTTCTTCATCTCTAAATTATGTTTTATTCATTTAGGATTACAATCGTATATTTTTATAATTACAGATGTGTTTTATTCATATATGATTGGAAATATTTTGATAAATTATAAATAAAAAAAAGTCGATTTTTTAATTTGAGTGAAAATAAATAAAAATTATTTTTATCATCCATTAATAAAAAAATAAAAAAAAATGGTTAATCTTTTATTTTAGGTAAATGTAATCAATATCGCTAAATTTTAGGAAAATAAGATTTGAATTTAATTTGTTTTAATTTAATTAAATATACAATTACTAATATGCCCTTATAAAATGATTGGTCTAGAAGTGTTCTCGCGTTCTCAATCTTTTTGGTGTTCTCATTTGATCCTTACTCTCTCTCTCTCTCTCTCTCTCTCTCTATATATATATATATATATATATATATATATATATATATATAGAGAGAGAGAGAGAGAGAGAGAGAGAGAAAGAGCTAGGTTCAGGTGTTTATTGTATCTATTGTGTTATTGTATGCATCAATGTGGGTCAATCAAAATTAAATAAAAATTCAATTAATTAAATAAATAAACAAGGGTATTTTAGTAATTTGATAAATAGCTTCCACAAATAGTCCCTGTAATCACGCTACCATTCAATTTTAACCTAATTCGCACAGCTCAACCCCACCATCAAAAGCCTCCTACCTTCTTCTTCATCAAACTGGCCAATAAGCCGCTTATCAATGGCTTCCAAGATCTCGTTTTTCGTGTACATCTGCCACACCCAATCCACCAAATTCACCATATCATCACCCTCACTTTCTTTCACAATTGGCCTCCGCCATTTTAAGAAACCCAAGTGCTGGATGTCTTGATACAACACATTATCGATGCAATATCCCTGTAGAGGAACAATATTTTTGTGTCTTAAGCAAGCGATTACTGATAATTCAGCGAAGAATTCCGTTTTGGCGTCGCAGGAACGTGTAGATCTTTTCACAGTTGCGGTGGTTCCCGACGATAGCATAAACGCTTTGTAAACTGTGCCGAATGAGCCACTTCCGATAATGTGACTTGGATGGAAGCAACTAGTGGCGATCTTGAGCTCACTGTAACCATTTCGTCTTTCTTGCTTTCTTGTGTTCCCTAATTTTCAATCACCGGAAAACATAATCAACACAAAACCCTAAATCGAGAAAGCCAACGACATAGTTCAAGCCCACAGAAAGGACAGGTAATCCTGCAATCTGTGATCTTTTGAATTCTCCACATCGGTCTGTTGATGGCAGCATAGTGTCTTGTGATTTTGTGATCAATTCTTCCACCATTTTGATTGAAATAGGATCATATTTTTTTTATTTTTACTATAAAGATTGAATCTTTGGATTGATCTCCCATTTGGGGTTTCTTGGTTGATTGTTTGTCTGTTTTTGACACTTTTGATTTTCTGATTCACGTATTCTAACCTGATTCATGGACTTGTGGTTCCAATATCACATTGTTGAAGAAACTTGAAATCCAATTTCGTTTTGTTAGTGTAATAGTGTTAATGGATTTGTGTTTCTATTTTGTTAGATTCGCTTAATGTTAGATCACACTTCTTATTTGATAGATATCTACAATTCCTCATTAATATATAAGATGTTTAATGTTATAAACATCGCAGGTATCAATATTAAACTCGAAATTGGATCTATTTTGATGCACACCAAGCGCTCGCTAAAATGCTTCAACTGAATGGTATTTCTTCGTTTATAGCATTCTATCAGAAAAAAATGTTTTTTTATGATAATCATGAACATATTCTGTTTAGAATGCCCCGAATTAATATAATTATTGGTAATGAATTCCAATTATATCAGAATGGAATCACGAATTCCAACTATGCTGGAATGGAACATAGATATTTTTTTCACAAATTTATTCATTGGATTTGTTTCCACAGAAGCTGATGTTTGAAGAACGGACCACGAAATTTGAACGACACCTCTTAGCAACATTATTCTTTTAGAATAAATTAGTGTATTTGTTAGATTTTGATGTTTTTTTTTCCGATTTGAAAGTTTTTTAGTTTTATTCTTTAACAATAAATATAATTTTTAGCAATTGTTATGTGTATTCTATAAGAATTAATATAATTTTTGTTTTAATTCTTCAATTGCTGGATCGAGAATTTGTTATTCTACAAGAAATATCTTCAATTACATGTATTCTATAAACATATTATGTCAGAATGTCCGAATTAAAAGAATTATAATTCGTAAAATCGGATTTTTAAAATTAATAGAATCTATGATCCCTAAAAAAATGCAATTTTCCTTTATTAAATCTATATAATTGACTAAATTACCCTTGTAATTAATTAAGATGATATTTCATTATATTTAATTCAATAATATATATTAATCACTTTCTTAAAATAAGTAAATTTGATTGTCTCACATTTATGCATACAAAACACAATAATACTTTGAATAGAATAACATAGGCCTATAGATCTATATCTATCTATATATAGATAGATATATATCTATATATATATATATATATCTATATATTATATATATATATATATATATATATATATATATATAGAGAGAGAGAGAGAGAGAGAGTTGTTAGATCTGTTTAGAAATCTATGGGTTTTAGTTTGAAGATTAGGTTTATTTGAGTTTCCTTCTAATTTCATATAGATTTTGATATTTGAATATTTTCATGGGTTTAATGAAAGGTGTTCTAAATCTTGATCTCCCAACTTTTAGTTTTTTATACTTGAACTAGTTTTAAACGTGGGAACCACCGGTTTACTAAAATTAATTAAATTTATAACAAAAAATTTTAATTATTAATAAGTTATTTTAAATAAGTCATTTTAAATAAATTATTAATTAAGAGATATATTTTTAATTCTTGCAAATAATTTCATTTTAATTGTCATCGTGCAAGATGAGTGAGATGGCAAACGGGCAACAAGCTGTGCCGCTAAGCCTTTTTGAATGGTAAAGCTAATTCTTTTAAAGACTACATCCGAAGATCTAGGGGATATAACATTACTATGCATAATTCGTTGTACTCTTTTAAAGTTATTATAACTTCAAATTTAACATATAATTAGAAAATGTAAATTTGAATTTTGAAATGAGTTGACTAATATATCTACATGACACATGACATAATATTAATGATAATATTAATGAAGAGTTGTATTAGAGTGACATTTAGCAAAAGGAGATTAAAACTATTCATTTATTAGAATAGGGATATCCTTTTGGGGTTTGAAGATCTACGAATGTAATGAAATTCAATGTGTTTGTAATTTTTGATAATTTTTGATTTTAGAGATAATTGATTCTTGGTTAGAAGGTTAAAATGACAATATCTCCATTTTGCATATTCGTTAATAAACCCTACCAAACATGATTGAATTATTTAGGTTTTTAATGGTTCAATATTAAATGGTTTCTACCAGAACAACCTTTAATTTATCATAAAAAAACAAATAAAACCATGCACATTTATCGATATAAAAAAAAAAAAAAAAAATCTAAGACATGAATTCTAGGAAACCAATAAATACCTTTAGATGTTCTTTGCTATTATCTGTATAATATTGTTGGGTATTCTTACTTTTTTAGAAACGATACCAAAAGAGAACTAAATTTCGAAAAGTAACTAAATAATTGTTTTTCATATAACTTTTGTTCAGAAACATTAAATATGGTCTTAGAATACAACATTACGTTTCGCTGATTCGCAAAACAAAAACACAAAATAATGTTATATACATGTGTGCATCGATGCATGGTGCATATTCACATAAATGTACAGGTTTTTTTTCTTGTTTTTCTTTAGTTATCTACTTATCTAATGATCTCATTTTCCTTACTTTTAAAAATTGTAAATGAGATACTTTTTTTTAGCTGGTATTATTGTTTTATTTTTATATGCATCTTTTTCCAAAGAAAATTAGCCATTATAAACATAAATATCCACGTCATGATGAAATGTTAAATTAAAAAAAAAAAAAAAAAAAAAAAAAAAAACATAAATTTTGGCATCATAAGCATGATGCACCGTTAAATAATTGTAAAACAAGTGTCCAGTCGATGCAACCTTCCACCACTAGTAATTGTCCAAAAATAACACCCATTTTGACCCCAAAAGAAAGAAAAACAATTACATCATATTGCTCAACGAATGTCTTCCACCGGACAACAACTTTTTGAATACTTGTACCAAAAGTGTAAAGATATTCATGATACACGTAGTCAAATTTGGAAATAAACAAACCTAACTTTCAATGATTCTTTAAG